CTGATTCAGAACTAAAGCACGATTTTATCAGTAAGACAAAGCGCTTGTTAGTTTGTCGTCTATCCATTAATCTTTCTCTATGCCTATATAGTCGGAGTTACACATTAAACATGTGGCGTTTTTTTTTCATACAAAAAATAAGTTTGGGTTCATAAAAACAGAATATGTCAGAAGCTTCAACAGTTCACCTGTCCGTTCCTTACTTTGTCTAATGAATGACGCCTCATATAAAGTATATATTGTACCGTTTAAGTTTATAGACAATTAATATGGTCTGTCTGATTAGCCCTGGATTGAGCGAAACACGCCGTCGGCAATGGATATGGTAAACAGTGGGGTTCGAACACTATTATTATACACTCTTCTAATTCAATGAAATCGCCAAGGAACTGGATACAGAATGCAGTGTTTAAAAGTATAGTAGGACTAATTCTAATGTCTTAAAATAAGTATATTGTCCGTTAGAGTTTGTTTTCTTTTGAATTTAATAGATAGCACTAAATATCTGATAAGTTATTTTTAGCTCATAGCTACACAATTGACCATATGCGCTCTGTTGACTGCGGGGAATCGAACCCCAGATTTTAGTGTTGCAAGTCCTTAAACTTACCGCTGACCCAGGGGAGAGCACATTACATCTTGAAAAATAAGAGTTAGGTAAATTAACGAGAATGAAAACATAAATTCCATTCATCTGAGTAGCTGCGTTCCTCATTATTTGAAAAATAATTTTATGTCAGAATATTGAATTATATTCATTTTATGTATAATAGAAAACAACATTAGTAATATAAAAATATCATATTGTTAATAATGTTAAAAGAAATGACTGTAAACAATAAAAATATAATTGTGGAAACTGGAAGAGTAAGTGTGTACAATTTACTTTACAAGATGATAAAAATGTTAAGCCTAAAGGACAACCAGTATCAGTAATTAGCTATAAAGTGTGACTGAAAATAAAGAGGGTTAAAGACATCAGTAACAGCAACTTATTTATGAATGATGACTGAAAATTAATGGGGTTAACTACATCTATTATCAGCAATTAACTATGAATGATAATTGAAATCAAATAGGGTTAATTGCATCCAGTACCAGCAAGAATGATGAGTTAAAAGAAAAAGGATAAAAACAGCCGGTAATTAATTACGAATGATAATTGAGAAGAACGAGAGATGAGTATCAGTAAGTAATTACGAATTATAAAAAAAGAGTGAGAACAAAGGAGAATACATTAAAACGTGTCAACCACACTACATTTGCTATATCCAGTGCCGACGAGGCCTTTCGCTTAATACCACTGTTCATTAGCCAAGCTGGGACTAGATAGATACAGTATTGGTCCAGGGTCTACATATATCATCAGATTAAGCAAATAAATTATAATTACTATCAATTTCATTTAAGTCATTTACAAATCAGATTTTTAGGTGATAATTGGTAACAGCATTACTTTGTTTTAACATTGTGTATTTGTTTTTATTTTATTTGAATTTAACTTTACTATTATTCACGAAAACTGGCAAACCAGCAAACTAGATTTCTTGTTCCCGGAGTGGGTCATGTAACCACAGTGTCAATGGGAGAAAACCACTTATATTTCTAAGAACCCGTGAGTGTAAGCAAAGGAGAATATTGACTGAAAAGAAAGAGGGTTGAAAACAACCAGTATCGGTAGTAACTTATGAATGTTGACTGAGAAGAAAGAGTGTTGGAGACATCCAGTATCGATAATTATTTATGAATGTTGACTGAGAAGAAAAAGTGTTGGAGACATCCAGTATCGATAATTATTTATGAATGATGACTGAGAACAAAGAGGATTGTAGACATCCAGTATCGATAATTATTAATGAATGATGACTGAGAACAAAGAGGATTGTAGACATCCAATATCGATAATTATTAATGAATGATGACTGAGAAGAAAAAGTGTTGGAGACATCCAGTATCGATAATTATTTATGAATGATGACTGAGAACAAAGAGGGTTGCAGACATCCACTATCGATAATTATTTATGAATGATGACTGAGAACAAAGAGGGTTGGAGACAACTAGTATCGATAATTATTTATGAATAATGTCTGAGAACAAAGAGGGTTGGAGACATCCAGTATCGGTAATTATAACTTATATATCTTTATGCAAGAATTATAAAACACATTTAGAATGTATTGTTCTGACACAAAAACATCACATAAAACAGTAATGTGTAGTTATTGTAACACTTACACTTACATTAAATGCGCTCCAGTCAGTTCAACAAATAGTGAAAAAAATCAGGTAATATTCTAGATGATATTAATTCCAGTTGAACCTACCTGAACCAAGACCTGATTCCTCCACACTTTCCTAGTTGAACCCACCTGAACAAAGACCTGACTCCTCCACACTTTCCTAGTTGAACCCTACCTGAACAAAGACCTGACTCCTCCACACTTTCCTAGTTGAACCTACCTGAACCAAGACCTGACTCCTCCACACTTTCCTAGTTGAACCTACCTGAACCAAGACCCGACTCCTCCACACTTTCCTAGTGGCGTTCATTCTCTCATTTTACCGATACACACAGATAATTTTGCTACAGATGACTCCCGTAACTTAATTATTGCAGCGATAAACACTGTTAAACATCACCCGTCATTATTGATGAAAATGTTGTTTGAACTGATTAATAGTAGTGAAAAACATCCGAGATGCATCATTTTCATAGAAGAAATATTGTTGAACTTGACCAACAGTAGTGAGTGACATAAGATTGTTTTGAAAATGTTTAATCCTTCTTGACTACATTATTTTAGGCAGGCTAGCTGGAAATCGATACTGCACTCGAGCGAGCGTACAAGTATGTTTGGACGATGTTTAAAGTTTCGTTTTATTAGTATAAGTAAAATTAAATGCTTTACTTACTCGCAGGAAAACTAGCCTAGCGAATACTCCTATTTTTAACACAAAAAACGACGACAAAAATAATGTCGCTACATTAATAAAGCTATATACATCGCGTAACATCGGACTTTAGTATCACAAAAACTCGTTATCTGTTTCAGTTACTCCATCACATCTTCTAACCCCACCCACTCTTTCGTTGCCATGACGATAACTGTCTGCGCAGGAGAACGGATAAAACAATTTCGTGGGTCGAGTGAAGACCTCACTCGCCTACTAAAACTTTTGGTTTTCGCAACTAGATAACGATCAGCCGATAAGTAGTAGCACAACACATACACGGTAAAATTAGGGTTTGATATTTTGTTTTCTGCAATAACAGATGAAGCCTAGATCATAGTTTTCACTTTTTCTCTGATCTTATATCTCAGGGCCAAACTGTAGGCAAGGCTAACTTAGAATCGATACCATCCTAAGAGTGTCCAAGTTTGCAAAGCTGGAGTACGGGAAGAAACTCAACTCCCAAAGAGCCTCTGCTAATTCAAAACAAATTTACCAACCTCTCGATAGCATAGCAAGTATCTAGCAAGTGAGGGTGATAAGAAAAAGCTACATATCAAAAACATTCCAGGACAACTTCTATACTCTCAGTATGACCCGCTATGTCATAATAATACTCAATACTAATTGTATGCCTAATGTAACTTAGCAACGATCCTTGTAAATTAGATTAAGATGTAAAATTTATTAACATTTAATTTGTAAAAAAAAAAGTTTAAAACTGTTTTCGGCATTTTTTTTTATCCTTTTATTGATGTTGAAAGGCTACTGAAATTCAGTTTCAAACTTATCAAAACTCATGGAAAACGATTTTAGCAGCGCACCTAGTGTCAAATTCTCTTCAATAATTAAGCTTTCTTTCGAGACGCATATTAACAACGAAAGTATTTAATTCATAATTTTTCAAAAGTGCAAAGAACAAAATTAATCTTTGATTCAGGGTGTGTGTGTTTTTTTTTTCTCAGATTATCCAGTATCTAATAGACTTGAAGTCCCTAAATATGAAACCTTGGTTTTGTAAAAAAAATGCAATAAAAACAAAGCATATAACATCAACAGATGTAAATACCAAATTGCAGGCGACGCCGATCCCAGTACGGGAATTGTCGTAACACTTTTGATTCTGGGACGTGAGATCCAATCCACTTTTGGTTGTTGATTCTTCAGAAGTGGGATTAATGTGTCGTAAATAGAAGCTACAAGAACACCCCCGAGTTGGATGTGTTGATAAAACGTACCAGAATACAATTTTTCTTGCGTAGATTTAATTTTTTTTTCCATACAAATCATGTGGATGTGGGTTCTTACGAAAATATTCACCGTGTAATAAAGAAAATTATGAAGTACAATCCTGGGTATGTCCTGTTGACATCTGAAATTTTCCGGGTGGGGGGCATGCACCGAATTCCTCCCTTTCCCTTCCCAGCAGTACAACTATCCAAATATTCCAGTACTCAAGTAACAGACCAGTGGTTCTCATATTTTAGTAACCCGAGAACCCCTT